GGGACGGCCCACGCGGCCGGGGAGCGGGCGAACCGCGGCGCTCGCCGAGCGGTAAAATGAATTGTAGAAGGCTGTGCCGATGGAAGAGGGGGTTCCTCTGGGAAATACGCCCGTTCAGCTGCTCTTGAACGTAACAAAAGTTTAGCTAACTGTACTCCGAATGTTTTGGGCACCTGCTTTCTGTATCCTACGGGATATGGAGTGCTTGGCCGTGTTTGCAGTAGGTTTGATGCGGCGCCTGTTGATTTAAGAACGAACACGTGGCCTTTGATAACCTTTTTTGGGCTTCTGTTCCAATCGGTTTTCCTTTCCCAGTCCCTCTTCTCCCCCTCCTTTCCTGTGCCAGCCCTATAATGGACTTTAGTTGCCCTCTCCCAGGTGTGCCTGCCAGCACTTGCCCTTGATAAAGTTTAATTTGTTTTGCCTCAACAAAATGAGTTTTTATCGACCATTTCGCAAGGCTGGAGAGAAGGCAAAAGAAAACGTCTTTTGCAAAGCATCAACTAGTCAAGCATTAAACAAAAAGTTACAGCGCTACAAGATTATGAGGCTTTCCATCAGGGTTGGAGCTGTCAAATATTACTTACTAACCTTAACTAGAAAAACCCTAGCAGCACAAGTTCCCAATTCTGTCTGCAGCTTCTCTTTATGGAGTTCTCTTTCCTCAGTAATAGCCTTCCCTCGCTGGATGTGAGATGCTTTGCTTTCCCTGGTGTGATATCTGCTAATTCAAAAAAAAAAAAAACCCAAAACTGCAACCTCCCCCAAGCTGTTTTTGTGTGTGATATTGGAAACAGGAGGTGCCTCAATTTACTTTGTTATGCAGCATTTTAAAATAATTTTACCAAGTTATTCAATCTAAACTTTAGGAAAAGGCTTTTTACTTGTTTCCTGCTTGTCGTTTGGGTTGGTGCGAGTTCCAGTGCATTCTCGTAGCTAAAATCAAGCAAACTAATCCTTCAGGTAAATGCGTAAGAGAATGAGTATAAATCAAGCCTAGATAAACTGCGTGTTCTTGTTAAAGAAACCTCATTAAGAAGATTATATCCCTTTTCTTTACTGCATATTTCTAATTTTCATTATTCTATTAAAATCCACAACAAAATGGATTTTTCACATCCAAAGCCTGTGGGTATAACAGCATTCCAGGGTCTCTAAAAATTGCAAAAATAAGGTAAGTTTTTTCCAGACTTTGTCAGCAGAATGTGCCCTGTTCAGCAATAATTTTTTAAACGAAAATAGAACTTAGGGACTTCTTCATAAATCAGGTTGTGAGGGGGATAGAAGGGTTTGGGTCCATGGCATTTCATATAATTTCATATTTAGTGGTGTAGTTTGGGTGGGAAGATTAGCAGAAGGAAAAAAATTTCCGTACTGGCTTCCTAAGTTTTCCAAACTGATGCAAAACTTGATTCAAATGCAGCTCCAGTTAAAATTGTTTCAGGGTGGTTTGGGTGGCTACCACTCATGGGCCCAAACTGTTCCATTTTAAACTGGCTAAGAGTGTGCTTTTTAAAATGTCTTGTACCACGGTTTGGCTTTGCTGACCAGCCAAACTGCGTGTCTGTTTCAAATCATGTTTAAACCGTTCAGCAAACTGCTCAGTCTGAGTCCAGTATAGACAGGTTCTCAATGTACTTCATGAAGAAGTCATTGCAAGACTTCTCCCTCTGCTAATGTGTGAGAGTTCTCCCAGATGTAACAGTGTGTATCCATATACTCTTGCTTTTCAGCCCCTTGTCCACGTTTGTGCCAAAAACCTGGTGGCATTTGTGTCGCAGGAAGCTGGGAACAAACCTGTCCTTCTCGCCATGGCTTTAAAGGACAAGACCGTGGAAGGAATACAAGCTCTACGGGAAGTGATCCGAAGTTGCCAAGTGTGGTGAAGTTGTGCCATCTGGATTCAAGGAAATGATCTTGAGTCCATGACTCATCACCACTTTTTAAAAAGGACAAAAAATGAAAATGATGGAATGTCTTTGTGCTGGTTTTGGACATGGCTGAGGAATTTCATGGATTTTTCTCTACCGTGTAGAATATTTGTGGCTTTTGCTATTATGACAGGTTTGCAGTCCATACGGCCAGTGATTAGATGATAACAATTGTCTCAACATACAAGAGAAATTTTATTTTTATCACATCGGGTGGGATGTATATTTGGAAAACTGCACAGCTCTGCATTTGTGTCCTGATAAGTGATAGATTCCAAACTCTGTAACTGCAAAACACTGTACTGCAAAGGGGAAACACCCAGTGCAGAGCAAATAAAAGAAACAGTGATGAATCCTAATTTTACCGTTTTTCTTTTTTGCTCTGTGAGAATCACTTCAATTGAAATATAAGCCTCAGTAACAAATCAACAACAACTGCGTAATGGGAAAGATTTTCTTGCCTGTTTTTAAAGGAAATAAGGATAAAAGCAGTCATCTAGGACTTATGTCAGTCCCTTTCTAATGTATTCTGAACCCACTCTCCAATTTCAGTCAGATTTTAAAGAGAAGAAGATAATTACACTCTGCAACTTTCCTGAAAGCTGACATCAGGGTAGAAGAGTGGAAACCAAATGAGGGGTGAGGAAAAAGACAAAATCTCAGCTTTTTTTTTAATATTTATGTTTATATATATTTATTTGTGGTTCTATAATATATGTTTATATATTATATAGTACCAGCACATCAAAGAGTTAGCATAGGTGCAGCTTTGGACCACCTGCAATGTGCGGCCCCTCTCCTGCGACAGTGCATCAGGAGCTGTGGGGATGGAAGGATGTGGGAGTTATGCAGTGCTGTTTCTCCTGAGTCCCTTTAAAAAAAAAGTGTTGTTTATGTGAAGTCATGTGAGGTAATGCAGTGTTGGCTATCCCAACTTTTGCCATTTGTCTGGAAAGCAAGTTTGTCTTTACCTCTTCTTGTAACAAGTAACACCAAGTAGTAAATTTTTGAGTAACTTATTAAACGCTTCTGTCATTTATGAACTTCAGTGAGCAAACAGAGGCCTGCCCTTGCATCTAGATTCTGGGTAATGAAGACCTGTGCTGTATTTGAGACCCATTGGTAACTGCAGAATTACATGTCCCACGTAGACCCAGTTGCTGGATTGTTTCTTTTGCTAAAAAGTCCCCCAAGGGTGGAAGAGCAGAAAATTATTCTTTTCTTTAAAGTCAGGGATATTTACATTATTTAAAGCATTATGAGAAATGAAACTTTTTTTTTTAAAGTACATTTGAAAACTACAGGCTTGCAGCTGCCCTTCACAAGAAATTTCATCTAAAAATAACTTTCCGAACTGTGCTTCCAAGAATCAAAGATTTGCATCTGTCAGAACTCCAAATTTTTCCTTTCTCTTACAGATGGGTTTTTTTTTGGTCTAGGAGAGTTGGAAGAGGCATATTGAATCTGTTAATGTTGATCCTGCTTTGCTGGTAGGGATTCTTTTCTGACACAAAATGAAAAGCATTTCCCCAATTCCTGGTGCTCCTACAGTGTCGGTAGCTTCAGCAACTTGTGGGAATCATACATTAACTATAAAATGGAATATAAATGACATCTTCCACCACGGTGGTATAGTATAGCACCGCTATGCCCCAAAGACTAAGGGTGTTACTACTGTGAAGCCGACCAGGGTGACTGCTGTCATTTCCTGGTTCTCTGTGTCATCGGATCTGCACACAGCAGCAGGTAAGGAGAGGACGTGGAGATCTCCCCTGACCGACGCTCCACAGCAGACTTATCTTGCTGCCCTTCTACGGGCAATAAATAACACCACAAACATTGGTCCTGAGACGTCGCCTCTGCTCTGCGGTAGATCTGCCCCAGCAAATAGGCAGATGAGCCTGGCCGTTTGTACACCCAGACGTCTGCCTTTTAGTCATCGTTATCCTTCTGTGGGAAGGATTAATTTGCAATTACAGGAAACCAAAAAAAGCTTCTGCCACCCAGGCAGGCGGCAGAGCGCTAACCCAGGGTCGCGGGGCCCAGGGCGGCCGTGGCAGGCGGCGCCGTGGCTGGCTGCGCCGTGGCCTTCCAGCAGCGTTTGCTTTCCGGGTGCGGGTGCCAAGCGCGGCCGACTGGAAAGGTAGGTTTGGTCGCTTTTCCGTCGGAGGCGAAGCCCGAGCAGCCCCCG